TGCCTGTAGTCCTAGCTACTCCGGAGGCAGAGGCAAGAGAATCGCCTAAGCCCAGGAGTTGGAGGTTGCTGTGAGCTGTGTGATGCCACGGCCCTCTACCAAGGGCAACAAAGTGAAACTCTGCCTCAAAAAAAAAAAGGGAATAACAAAATTATCTGCCAGTTAAGACTGCTGTGCTTAAAAGGCATTTGGCCCTGGATCAGCACAGGGTGGGTTTCTCAAAAACAGTGGCTCAAGGCCCAGTTCTACACTGATATCTACCCGCCACCTTCATCAACAAGATTAGCTCAAGACCTTTACCCTAAAGCTCAGCCCAACCCACTGTCATAAGGAGTCCTGCCCAAGCTGGAGGCCTGCCCTTGACCTCTGAAACCATACCAGTCTGGCCAGTGAGAGGTTCAGATCAACCATGCTGCCCTGTCCCTTCCACTAACAGCTGGGACCCAGCAGTCCTTGTTATAACAGGCAGTCCTAGTTATTATAACAGGTGGTCTGAGGGCTGCCCTTATATCCCCCAGAGATAGATCTGGGATTTGCATGTGGAATCACAACTGGGGGCCTGGCCCCTGACCAGGCCCTGCCCCGAGGAGACTCAGGTCTTACTACTCAGAGCTCCAACAACCTGTGGTTATAGCTTAGTGAAAATATTTTACTTCCAATTGGCCAGTCATCAATTACTATGTATCAGGTACTAGCTACTTAACTCCCACTCATTGGATAATCTCATTCCATTCTTACTAGAGCCTGCCCCAAACATGAGTGTGGTTAACTTCCATTATAGTTGAGTAAACAGGCTCAGAGACACTGAGGCACTGCCTGGTAACAGCGAGGAGCAACTGGGCAGTATCCAGACCACATCAGGATCAAGACTGGAGAAGCTCTGGGCCCAGCCTGGCTATATCTTCCCAGATGCCCCAACTCCTGCCCAGAAGCCTGCCCCTGAAGTACCTGGTAGGTCAATGGCCACAGCCCGGTAACCAGCCTGGGCCAGCCTGTGCAGCGTACCCAGGTTCTGCCAGGTCTCGGAGGAGAAGCGGATACCATGCAACAACAGCACAGAGAAATGAGCCTGCCCACTGACCGGCCGTGCCTCTCGGAAGAAGAGACTCTGGCCTTGCACCTGGATGGTGCCCTCGCTCTGCTCCATGCCTGCCGCCGTGCTCGTGGAGTGCCTATGGTTCAAAGCCAGGCTGTTAAGGGGCCACAGGACATCTTGCCCAGGTGGAGCAGGGAGGCTGCCACAGAGAGAGGGTAGGGAACAACAAGGAGGCCTCCAGGAGGCTTCCAGAACTCTAGGGACATCCTTTGGGGTCAAAAAGACATGGGTGTTATTTCTGCCTCTGCCACTCAATTGTATAACCTTGGGCTTCAGCTTCTTCATCTGCAATATGGGAACAATAAAACCTACTTCAAGAATTAGGAATTTAATTAAGAGTTTAAGAAAAGAAAAAAAACAGCGAGGCCAGGCTCATTGGCTCACACCTATAATCCTAGCACTCTGGGAGGTTGAGGTAGGTGGATCACTTGAGCTTAGGAGTCCCAGACCAGCCAGAGCAAGACAAAAGGGAGATCCTGTCTCTAATAAAAACAGAAAAACTAGCTGAGAGTTGTGGCGGGCGCCTATAGTCCCAGCTACTCAGGAGGGCGAGGCAGGAGGATAACTTGAACCCAGTAGTTTAGAGGATGCTATGAGTTATGACGCGGTGGCACTCTACCCAGGGTGCCTTTTAAAAAAAGTGATGAAGCCTGCTCGTGGTAAGAACTCAAAACGTGGGGCTCCTATTGCGATTATTGGTCTCATCCTTATTATCCTTTTCTACAAATGGAGATAACAGTACTAGCTCCAGGTGGCTGATAGGATTAAAGGAGACCGCGCATGTGCGTGCCTAGCACATAGTAAATGCTCAGTCAACGGTAAGTACCTGACTCTTTTCCTGACCAGCCTCATCTTCTCCAACGCACTGTCGTGAGTTGGCACCATAGGCCCGAGGGAGCCCAGGTTGAGGTAGAAAGCCCATTTCCAGAGGAAACCAAAGCGCCCAGTGGGGAAGGGCTTTGGGGTTCTGGCCTGCCAGAGACGCGAGGTGTTTAGCGCGCTGCCCGCCGAGACCCAATACACTGATGCCACAGTCCTGAGAGCCGCCACCGATAGCCCTTTCCCTTCCTCTGACCAAGGTTCGTGCCCAGCGGGTCTGAAAGGGCACACAGCGGTGGGGGAGGGGGGCAGCTCCAAAGCAGGGGAACTAGAGATTCGAGATGGAAAGATTTGGGGTAGGTGCGGTTGGCTTTTGACTGGAGAGAGGAAGAGAGGGGTCGAGAGCGCAGGGCGGGTACCTGAGAAGCCGTGAGAACCCGCGCAGAACAGAGGCAGGCGAGAGCTGGCGGTGGACCGAGGCCCGGGAGGGAAGCAGGGAAGAGTCCAGCTCCAGGGCGGAGACGGGGGCGGGGGCTATGCCGTGTTTCCGGGCGCCCTCCTGTGGCCACAAGCTACCGCTGACTCCTTCGGCGCCGCTAAACCTCATTGTTCCACATTGGCCTCAGTTTCCCCAAGCCCTGCGCGGTCCCGAAACCACCAACGGCCTGCCCCACATGGACATAGCGTAGCTTGAGGAGGAGGGCTCTTACGGGATCATACCCCTGTTTCTCCTTTTCAGCCCCCATCCCCCTCATGTCCAGCCACAGCTCCCCTGGCCGAATTGTCAGCCTGGCACAGAGTTGTGTGCCTGGTGCGGAGTAACCCAACAGGTTTGACGAAAGGCTCCACCAATGTCCAGCCAGGTACATTTGATCGTTTCCCAACGCCCCTAAGCCTGTTCCCCTGCAGAATGAGTTGGATGGTGCCCACCTCTGCAGGGCACCAGTAAGAAGTAAACCCCACGTGCTTCGCACAGCCTCTCTATGCTAGGCTAGTCGCTTCTCAGAGCGCTGAGCCTGGGACATTGTTCATTTATCTCCAACCAGGATAAGTACCATAAGCACACATGAAGACGCCCAGAAGCCTCCTACACAGATATCCTGCGTTTAGGGGTGGGGTGGTAGGTGGGGGGAAAGTAGTTGGGCTGAAAGCTGATGCTACTGCATAGCAATATCTGGCATTTACACAAGGAGGCCTCTGTCCTGGGCCCTGTTCTTGGTTTAACCGGTCCTTAAGTATGTATTATACTTAACGACAGCCCTATGCTGTGGGTCTTATCCTTAACTCCATTGTACAGAGAACGGAGCGAGGATGAAAATGTTCTAGGAGGAAGAAGCCAGGTGGCTTTCCGCCATCCCTTAGGCCAAAAGCAATGTGGAAAATTGGACGAGTCTCAGAGCTTTGGGGCGACGCCCCCAGTACCCCTTCCCCAGGGACTACTCCGAAACTGGGCAGCGGGCCTGAGGCTGCGGACTGCGCAGGCGCGCCTCCGTAACCTCGCTCTTCACAGCCCAGTGTCAGAGCAGCCGCCGAAGGGGCGAGGGCCGCGCCATGGTCCGGGCGCTTTTCGGCTGCTGGTTCCGCGTGGGCGGGGCCCTTCCGATCATCCCGCTGGGCCGGGTGAGTGTTCCTAGGAGGAAGGTCTGCAGGTTGATCGAGGGAGGGACGTTTTTGCCCCGCCCCTTGCCCCGTGCCCTGGGACAGAGTCCTGAAAGAGAGGCACTGGGGCCGAGAATGTGAGTGCATGTTGGTGTGTTGTATGTACATGTGCGCAAGTGTCTGCATATGTTGTGGGCAGTCTGGGTGTATGTGTTTGTCTACTTGTGTATCTGTGTGGTGTCTGTCAGTGTGTGTTTCTGCATTATATGGGAGATGTGTTCCTCAAACTGTTAGCCTGCTTGTTTCTGTCTACTGTATTTCTGCATGTAACTTTAAGGATATTTACCAGTATGTATGTCTGTGGGTGCATTTCTGAGGGTGTGTGTGAGGGTGTTTGTCAGTCTGCCTGTGTGTGCATGTGTCTTTCTTGAATGTGTACTTTTAGGGTTGTATGACCATACCTGAGTATTTCTGAGGGTATTTATGTGGTCCTGGATTGTGGTTTTTATTTTAGTAGATAGGATCTTGCTATGATGTCCAGGCTGGCCTTGAACTCCTGGCCTCAAACAGTCCTCTCACTTTGGCCTCCCAAAATGCTGGGATAACAGGCAGGCTGGGATTATATGCTTGGCCTATGTGTAGTTTTTGAAAGCATATGTGTCTACACCAGTCTACCTTCCTGATACTTGACTGTGTGTGTGACTTAGACAATATTATTATAAGGGATTGTTTGCACATGGACCAGTGCAAGTACATATATTTGCAAGTAATAGCTTGTGCAGAAGAGAAGTATGAGGACAAGACTTGTCTGTGTGGGAGTGTATACACCTGTTATTGTCAATGTACATATTCCAGTAACCTAAAGTCACAGTTTACCTTAGCCCCATCTGTAAAGCAGATTAAGTAAATGGCTGCAGGCTTGCTGTTTCTGTCTAGTACCACTGTCACCCTAGATTACCAAGGCAATGACCAAAGCTCTGCCCCTCCTTCCCAGGAGAGTTGCGGGGGCACCCCAAAGGGACCACAAGGAAAGGTCCAGTGGAGATACTCCACCTGGTAAGAGCCTGGACTAACACCCAATTAGAGGAATGTGTCTGAGCCTGTGGTCTGGAAGAAAAGAGGAGTGCGCTCTTCCTTTGCTGGGCTCCTGGCTCTCTAGAAGCACCCAAGAGGATGCTACTGAGGCCCACACACTACCTAACCCCAGAACCTGGGGGTGGGTGGCTGGGGATGTGTCCCAGAGAGGGACAGGTCCCCAGCTTCTAACTCTCTGCTTGGCACCTAGTTGGTACTTAAAGACATGTTTGTGACCCGGTGTGGTGGCTCGTGCCTATAATCCTAGCACTCTGAGAGGCCAAGGCAGGCAGATCCCTTGAGCTCAAGACTTCGAGACCAGCCTGATCCAGAGCAAGACCCTGTCTCTAAAAATAGCCAGGCATGTGACAAGTGCCTATAGTCCCAGCTACTCGGAGGGCTGAGTCAAGAGGATCTCTTGAGTCCAAGAATTTGAGGTTGCTATGAGCTATGATGCCACAGCACTCTACCAAGGGCAACAAAGTGAGACTCTGCCCCCCTCCAAGAAAGAAAACATGTTTACTGGAATCTTTGAGTGATGCAGGGGTGCCCACCCAAGGCACAAGAAATGACAGGGACAGCTCCAAGGCAAGTCCACTATATTATTTAAATCTCAAGGATTGAGATGACAGCTACCAGGCTATCTCATCTTACTGACAAACTGAAAACACAAGGTTGGGAAGTAGCAATCTCAAAAGGCAGGGCTGTCTGCCTTGTTTGGGTCCTGAGTCCTGAGGTCTGTTCCCTGGGCTAGCAAAGGCCCCTGCCTTGAAGAATCCATGAAGCAAATCAATTGGGATGAAGCTTTTTGTGTGTGTAGAATGGGAACAGGAGGGTGGTGTTCATCTCTCTGGCCCCATGCTGCCCATTCCATTCCTAGGTATACCATGCTCCTCCCTGGTCCCACATCCTCTCATCCCACATCCTTTCATGCTTCAGCATTTCCTCTATTATGGGCCTTTTTTATTTTTCTTTTGAGACAAAGCCTCAAGCTGTCACCCTGGGTAGAGTGCCATGGCATCACAGCTCACAGCAACTTCCAACTCCTGGGCTCAAGCAATTCTCCTGCCTCCGCCTCCCAAGTAGCTGGGACTACAGGTGCCTGCTACAACACCTGGCTGTTTATTGGTTGCAGCCATCATTGTTGTTTGGCAGGTCCAGGCTGGATTCGAACCCACCAGCTCAGATGTATGTGGCTGGCATCTTAGCCGCTTGAGCCACAGGTGCTGAGCCTATCATGGACCTTCTTCATGAGCCTCTTAATACAGCTTGGGTCCACCATTAAATATAATATGATTATAAGACAAATTCTGATTTTAGCAGCATTATCTGTGTCAAGATAAAAAGACCAATTTCAAACACACATTCAGTGGGAGCTTCCCCCCTTCTTTTTTTTTTTTTTTTTTTTGAAACAGTCTAACTCTCTTGCCCCAGGTTGGAATGCCCTAGCATCAGCTTAGCTCATAGCAACCTCAAACTCCTGGGTTCAAGCGATCCTTCTGCCTCAGCCCAGGTACCCGCCACAATATCTGGCTAATTTTTCCATTTGGGGGGGGAGGGTCTCGCTCTTGCTCAGGCTGGTCTTAAACACCTAAGTTCAAGGGGTCTTCCTGTCTCAGCCTTCCAGAGAGCTAGGATTACAGGTGTGAGCCACCACATCTGGCTGGGAGGTCCCCTTGATGGTCCTCACCACTCTATCCAACAGCAAGACTCCAGTTCATCCATTGCCACCTACCCCTTTCCTCCTTGCCAACCCAAGTATATCTTGGTGGTTAGGAGTCCAGACTTGGGTTCAAATCCCAGGTCCCCCATTAGCTACCTCTCTGAGCCTCCATTTCTTCATCAGTAAGAGACCTATAGTTCCATCTGCTCCCCAGAGTTCTTTGTGGATCTATGAGCCCTTGCATGTGAAGAGCCAAGCCCAGAGCCTGCTATCACTTGATGATCAGAAGTGGTTTTTGCTGCCACAGTGATGATGATGGTCACTGAGCATGCTGTGTGCCAGAGAACACCTCAAAGACACCTCCTAAGTTTGCAGAGTATCTGATGCCTTGGCATGTGGAATAGTTTGTGAACCCTCAGGCCAGGGGTCCTTAAACTTTTTAAACAGGGGGCCAGTTCACTGTCCCTCAGACCATTGGAGGGCCGGACTGCGGGTCCTGGGACGAGTCGGCTGCTAAGCAGGACAGGCAATGGCAGCAAAAACACCCCGCGGGCCAGATAAATGTTCTAGGTGGGCTGCATGTGGCCTGCGGGCTGTAGTGAGGACACCTGCCTCAGACCTTTGCCCAGGGCAAGGGAAGGGGCAAGGGTTGGAACTCTTCTGCTGGGGGCTTCTGGGTGAGTCTTGGGGGTGGGGTTCAGGGGTCCTTGTCAGGGCTCAGTCCCACCTCTTTTCCCTTTCCTCTTCTCCAGACTGTGATACAGACCTCCATGAGCAGGACCCAAGTAGCTCTGCTTAGCTTGGGTCTGCTGCTCATCCTACTACTGTATGTGGGGCTACCCAGCTTGCCTGAGCAGACTTCCTGGCTCAGGGGAGACCCCAATGTCACAGTCCTGACTGGTCTCACCCCTGGCAACTCCCCCATCTTTTACCGTGAGGTGCTTCCACTCCACCAGGCACGCAGGTAGGTACTGATCCAAGGGTCTAGTGGAGGGACTAGGCCCAAGAGGAGTCTCTATGTGGGAATCCAGTCAGACTCAGGATGTTCTGGGACTGGGAGGGCAGTGGGAGAAGCCTAGAAAGAAAGAACAGAGGTTCCCTCAGACCCCCAGGATACACATTGCACTTTATGTCTGCAGGGTGGAGGTAGTGCTACTCCATGGAAAGGCCTTTAACTCCCACACATGGGAGCAGCTGGGAACATTGCAGCTGCTGTCACAGAGAGGCTACCGGGCCGTGGCCCTTGACCTTCCAGGTAAGCACCCTTAACCCGGGTCTAAGGAGGCAGAATGAAGCTACAAGGGGGTAGCTTCCCAGAAGGGGGAACTGGAGGGGTAGGGAAGCCCTAAGGTATGGCTGGGGGGCATCTGGACTCTAGTGTCTGGACAATCACTGGCAGGTCACTACACAAGATGGGACCACAAAGAAGTCTGTATTTTTACTTTCTATTTTATTTTCTACAGCATGGATTGTTATATGTCACAGAATATATAGAAACTTGACTCACTGGGGCAGGGAACTCACTATACTTTTTATTACAAATTATGTAGCTTTTTGTTTAAATATACAAATGATTTGTGCTATCATTCCTGTCATTAAGAAAAAAATCAAAAAATAGTGAAGTCCTCAGAGACTGGTGCCAAGTTTGGGGGCTGCCAGAGCGTCTTCTGGGCATTTTCATACTCAGACAATATGCAGACTGTCTGGTGAGGGTTGTAGACATGACTGGTGTCCTGCCTGCTTAGCTAACCCATCTTCAGCTTGGTTTTCTCCCTGTACACCATGTCTCACAGGTCACACCAGTCCTTGCAAACCACCTTCTGATAACTCCCCAATATGCACCATAGGAGGGTGTCACAGGCTTTATCCAGCTATTCCTCTACTGATAGATATGTATTTTAACAGTGTTTTTTTTTTTGTTTTTTTTT